GTATTTGCACCTTTGAGTAAAAACTTCCCTAGGTTGTATAATATTTGTTTTGATAAGAAGAAAACGGTCAAGGAGATCATTGAAGGGGGGATTGACAACATGCATTTTAGAAGAACTTTGACAGGGGTCGCAAGGGAATTATGGGAACACTTAAAAGAAGCATGTAGCTCGATAGTCCTGAGTGAGAACAAAGATAAGGTGAAGTGGACACTGACTAAAAAAGGGGTCTGTACTGTAAAGTCATTCTATAGACACTTGATAAAAAATGGGATCAAATACCCACATCTTTATATGTGGAAAATCAAAATGCCATCTAGAGTCAAGGTCTTTATGTGGCTGGCTCTTAGGAATAACATCCTCACATCTGCTATGTAGGGGGTGGAAAGGAGATGAGAAATGCCCATTTTGTGAGCGTGAAGAAAGTATAAACCATCTCTTTATATCCTGCTCTGTAGCTAGGTATTATGGAATATTTTAAAATGTGCTTTCAGTTTAACTGACATTCCAGATGTCTCGATCTGGTGATGAGAACTTGGGTCAAGACCTTTGGAAGAGAAGAGAGGGGCTTAGTTATGATAGGGATTTCGGCTATATGTTGGACTATTTAGAAACTGAGAAATAGTGTTGTTTTTGAAAATAACAGGGTGAATGATCCCTGCATACCTGTTAATCTGTTGCTTCAAAAATTTACATGATTGGAACATTTTGCAGAAAAACCCCACAAGAAGTGACATGATGAAGGCAGGAGTGAAGCAGGTTGGTGAAGTGGCTGAAGAAGTGTTTAGAGCAGCACATGGGTGGCGCCTGGAGACTAGAAGAATCATGGGATGACCAAAAAGTTCAAGTCTTTCCCAGGACCGTGCTGCTGCGACAGATGCTTAAAGAGGCTTCAAGATCATCATGTTCTCTGCTTCTCCTTCTATCTTCTGGTTTCTCCTTGGGGAGCAATAAATTTCTGTATGATAAGCAGTTTGTATGCCGCTCTAGATACTTTTATGTCGTTACAACTGTGTTGAAAATTCTGGTGCT